GACACCCTACCAACACCCCACTGATTACCTACTGTAACCATACCGACTCCAATTCTGAAGTCGTATTGTTTACTATCACTGTCACCCTTTGTTTTTATACCAAGAGTCCATGATATCTTGGATACCATAAGGAAATATTATGATAAATTATCATTTTTCTTTGTATTTGGCATTAATTGTTAGGATCTCGAAGTGAAAGAGATTAGGAAGGCTCTTAATGCACATCTGAAAGATGTCACATCTATTCAAAAGCAAGTAACATCCCTGGTGAGTAGATTTTCAATTTTGTCTTGTGTGTTGAGCATGTTATGTTGTTGTTATAAAGGTGTTTATACTCTATTTTTATCAGGACACTCAACTGGAACAGAAGAAAGCTGATCGACATGGACTTTTAAAGTCTTGCAAGGTAAGAAGGATGTGATGTTGTTGTAGATGATGAATATGCTGATGATGATGATGATGATGGTGATGATGATGATGATGATGGTGATGGTGATTATGCTAATAATGGTGCTGATGATAGATGATGATAATGGAGATGTTGGTATTCATACTGATGCCAATGATGTGGATTATGATGATGGTAATGATTATGATGGATGATTATATTGTAAATGATAAAGGGATGATGGATGTAATGGCAATGATGATGATGATGATGACTGTATCGTTGCCACAAAGTATAGAAAATAGACTGGAGACTTAAGTGTGTTTCATGAGAAGCTTTTACTAGAGCATGTCGCAAGCAGCGAATACATGAGTAACATGAGACTATTTGTAATATGATTATACTGAGGATCACGTGATCGTTACAATGACAAGTACCATGACAATACTGCAAAAGTTTCACACTACACGTAGATATTTTCTTTGTCATCATGTTAACAGATGGAGAACATCATGCTACCACTAAAAAGGGGTAACATGGAGGACATTGATCTAGGCGAGACAAGCGCTAGTCAACCAGAAGAAGAATCTACTTCCATGGAAGTTGATGGTTCAAGTAGCCAGGTTAGCTAAACCACTTTACGACATGAGAAACCCTACTAGAATTTATCCATTAAAAAATTTAAATTGGACTTGTAATAAAAAACTTTCTAACAGAAAAACGTTTTGTTATTTAGTTATTGTTATGCTGTGATATATAAAGGACATATTTTTTATGTAATAGTATTTAGAGATATTGAAATGCGGGACCTTATGTTCATGTTTATTATTCTAACACAGGGGACACGACCTTCTACCCATGAACGCGAGGCTAATATCATCCTTGATTACTCATCTTTAAGCCGAAAACTCAAAGAGGTAAGACCACAGTAACTATCATAAAAAGTTGTCAATTAAATTTGAATCACGATTGTTCTGTTTAATTCCGGTTTAAAATGTTGAAAAACGAGTGGTTGTAAATCTCCCCCACCCCACCCTGCACACCCACAAATTGTTGTCCCTACAACTGTAAATCTATTTTTATCATTAATCTCTGACTGTTACCGTTATATTATATCAGCATGAAGATCCTGCAGAAGTCCGAAACATGGCCAATGAATTAGCAAATAAGGTTACTAAGCTACAGACCACATTACAAAGAATCCAAGCTCCCAACATGAAGGCTCTAGAAAAGTATGTATGATAGTATATTGGTCACTACCTGGGAGAGGGGGTCAGTCCATTGATCACTTCTTGGGGGTGGAGGGGTGGGGGGTCAGTTCATTGGTCACTACCTGGGGAGAGGGGAGGGGATCCAGGGGGAACTAGATTTTCTGATTAGTATTATGGATATGTTTCATATGTTGCTTTAATGTTGTACAGACTTGAAGGAGCCAGCTCACGTTTCCAGGAAACAAACTCAGAATTCGAACAAGCACGATCRACAGCACGCAAGGCCAAGATAGAATTCGAGTCTGTTAAAAAACAAAGGTAGGAAATATGTCACTTGTCTATGTATTTGATTTCTTTTGATTAAACCTATTGCATGGGATTATTTCAGGTACGATCGCTTCATGGATGCGTTTGAACATGTCTCTACAAGAATCGATGACATCTATAAGGTACACTGAAACACCACTCCATTTTTTGTCTTTAAGTTTTTGTCTGTTGCTGTTGTTTATTTGTTTGGTGTGTTTTGTTTAATTTTTGTTTTGCTTTTCTTCTTCGTTCTTACTTTTGGTTGATAATTCAAATTGGTTTCTTGCTTCTAGGAGCTGGCGAACAATCCTAGCGCTCAAGCCTTCTTAGGGCCAGAAGATGCAGAGGTCTGTAGCAACATATGGCTAGGCCATGACCTGTTTCCCTTTTTTATTTGGATCACACTACTGCCAATATTCTTTATCATCACCATCACCAGCATTATCATCATCAGCATCACCATGATCACCATGATCATCATCATCATTACCACCATCATCATCACCATGATCACCATGACCATCATCATCATAACCATTATCATCATCATCATCACCATGATCATCATCATCATCATTATCACCATCATCATTACCATCACTATGATCACAATCACTATCATTATCATTACAGGGAGCCCATGTCACCAAAAGAGTTGGGTGGTTCGTTCATTTGGTTGTTAAGCTTTACTGTCTTGTATATTTTAGGAACCATACCTTGGTGGTATTAACTACAACTGCGTTGCTCCAGGAAAAAGGTATAAAACAAAATACTACGCAATAGTTGATAGATTTAGTGTCACTGGCGTGAAACTAGTTGGAAGAATTGATAACCAAGACTTGCTCTTGGTGGACTATTGACGGTTATGGCTTGGTCACACGGTGCGTCGCTTGTAACGTATGTTCAACACTGCAACTGTCACATGCAATGTTATGCAACCACAAAATTACATTATACATTCACTACTGCAATGGCTGCGCCGACTTCGCACACAATGCATGTTCACCACAGCTGCTGTCGCATGCAACATTACAAAACCACAACATTACACCATGTGTTCCACCACTGCAATGGCTGTACGCAACAGTCGTACTTTCAGTAGTTTGCTTAAAGATGTAAATTCCTTTCATTGCAGGTTCAGACCGATGGACAACTTATCAGGCGGAGAGAAAACTGTTGCTGCTCTGGCTTTGTTGTTCAGCATCCATAGGTTCGTAAAAACCTATGATTCTTATTATTTATTCATCCATCCATTTGTTGTTGTTTTTTTTGGCGGTATTTATTTTTGTTCGGTCCCCGCGTTCGTTTGTCCGTTGGTTTCCTGAGATAGCGAACATGGTGCATTGTGGTGTAGCTTCGATTCAACATCTTTTTTTTCACCATGCCTTATATTCCCAATCTAGACCAGAATTCATTCTAAAATGAAAACATGGCATAGACCCTTTCTGAGATAGTGAACATGGTGCATTATGGTGTAGCTTCGGTACAAACATCTTTTGTTCGTCATGCCTTGTATGGTGTTGTTTGTACCGAAGCTAGAGCACAATGCATCGTGTTTATCGAACTCAGAAAAGGCCTATTGTGTGTGTATGTTTTCTATGTAACTTGTTTTGTGCTGTAAAAAATTGTGAATTTTGATCTCTGTTCTTTCCTAATGACATCACTGACTAACCTTGCATGTCTTTCCTTTAGCTATCAGCCTGCACCTTTTTTCGTATTAGATGAGATTGATGCGGCACTCGACAACACAAACATAAATAAGGTACATTTTTGGTTTGTTTGATACCATGCATGGGTACACAAAATGATCTCGACTGCGAGGCTAACGTGAAAACGCAAAAGAACTCAAGTTTTCTCAAGGTTGCGTGCGCATCCAACTTGACGGGCACAAAACTGAAAAACACAAATTCAATAAAAAGACAGTTTTATATTTAATGAGGAGAATATTCTGATCGATTTTATGAATTCTTATCGGAAAAAAAATTCATAGCAATGCATGATAATACTCGTGTTCTGGTATCGTAGCCCATCAAGTTCCTTAAATTTGGATGCGCACGCAACCTTGACAAAATAGAATTTGTGGCATTTCTTTCGTTTCCATATCAGCCTCGCATTAAAGATTCAATTTCCAATTTCCAAAAGGGTCCACCTTTTGAGCTGCTCTAGGAATTGATTCAAGGGGCCTATACGACCTCATCATTCATGAAATGTGGAACTGAAGGACAATCGTATTGTCCGTTCTGTTATCCTAGGTGGCTAGGTACATCATTAACCAGACACGAGAACACTTCCAGTGCATTGTTATTTCACTGAAAGAAGAGTTTTACACCAGAGCTGAAGCTTTGATTGGCATCACGGCGGAGGTTAGTACACAAACCGTAAAAAGTGACCCTAATATGTATCTACTATGCCCGCGCCTTTTTCAAAGATCATTCCTAAAGAATTGTTTATTTGTATTTCGCTATTAACAAATATTGTATAAAACAAGCGAGAAAGAAAAAAAGTGACTAAATGCAGGGGAGCTAAAGTAACTATACGTTTTCTAACCTGCCTGAACGGGCGCTGTTACGAGAATATTTTTTGTGCAACCTTTCTCGCAAAATAAATTGTTACAGATTGCAACATAATGTACCATGTTGCACGCGCAATTCTGTTGCATTTGTCTTGCGCAGAAATTTGTTGCCACTTACAGAGTGCCACATTTTTTACGCAACAAAAAAATAAGAAATACAAGTTGCGCGAATATGATAACACGAAAAAGCTTGTGTAGTCTAAAGTGTGCAATGGATGCTGGTAGTTATAGTTAATGAGGCCATAATTCAAATGTCCTATTGGGTTCAATCTTGGACTGTATAGTTGATGTATTGATGAGATGCTTGTTGTCTTGTTGTTTGAACACAGCCCGATAATGAATGCACCGTGAGCCGCGTCTACACCCTCGACTTGACCAAGTTCCCTGAATAAAACTATCAAGCATTTGCAAAAGGAGGATTAGACATCATAGATCAGAAGTCCATTTCTTTAAAATTCCATTAATTCGTGTTATTTCCTTCAGCATTTTACTCTGCACTTTAATGGTTTTTAGCTGATTATATAATCACTTGTTGTTTCAAAAATAAACAATAGTTATTGATGTCTTTTGTTTTGTATGGTTTGTTTCAATCTCGTACCCAGAGCCCACGCTGCTCTTGGTCAGTAGCGAGAAACGTTGCTGACGAAGAGCAACGTGGGATCTGGGTACGAGATCGGGTTTGTTTAGCCTGGTAATATGAATCATTATCGGGAATGACCCACCCCTCCCCCACATATAACTCTTTAGCATAGAATCAAAATAGTATAACAGACAGAATACAGTAGATACGGAAAGGGTTTAATAGGTTTAATCATCAATTCTTTACAAGTAACAGTATCTTCAAAAACGATAATAATTAATTACGATAATCTTAAAATTCATACCAATCTACGAAATATTGATGTGATGATTGTTACAGAAACCACTTGCCATGTCACTACAATGCGTACAGTGATTGAATAAATACATATTAAATACCTTACAATTATTTATCTACACAAGATGGAGTGCTGTTATACAGTTAGACTGCGTGCAATCCGGCTTTAACTCTGCTCTCTGAGGAAGTCTTCTCTCAAACGGTACCAGACAGATTTTTAACCGGTGAAAACCGTTTATACGAAACGGTCTCTTAAAGGGGCACTTGGATGAAAATCGATGAAAATTGGAAATGACTTTAAACTTGGGTAAACCTATGTATATGGCCCCAATAGTAGCCAAGCAACGTTTTTCTTGACAGTCAAAAGTGGGTTATGAAAATTATAAGTTTTATTTAGCAACTAAATTGTGAGTAAATGACGTGATTTACTCAACCCTATTGTTCTTTTTGCTTTTAGGCTAAAATTTTCACTAATCTGATTTACATAATCGTAATTGAGTCATATTATCCTCAAATACTTCAGTTATTTGGACTTTCAAATATTGGGGCGTTTTCATCCAAGTGCCCCTTTAACTGTATAAAAATGCGTTTTGTTTACAAGGGACCGGATCCAAATTTGCACGGTTAGGCGTACGAAATTTTTTTTTTGCGTGAACGCAACCCCTAAACCTACAACATTTTGACCAGTTAAAAATTCGTCCGGCACCGTGTAAACGCAGCCTAAGTAATGGTAACAGCAGTTCAAAATCTGCAATGAATTTGTTTCGTGTGCCCAAATGAATTTTGTTGGGTGGAAACATCGTCACGTCATTGCGAATAACATTTCAGGTCATGTTCATACGATGAAAAAGTTTTTTTTTTCTTTTTTTGCAGAAGTAGAACTCGATTCTGCTTTGCGCACAACAGTTGCACTATGTGCCGAGGACTTTACCTGATCCCATGCGCTGCGGACCAGCATCCTTGAAAAAAAGGGGCTTGCAAATGTATCCCAGTCCCCTAGTGCTGTTGTTCAAACATTTTTAGTGCACATCTCGTTGAATTTTGATTGTTAGGTGCGCGATAAATTTGAAAATGTTAAGTTTATTATTCATTTAGTTAAGGCGTAGTAGCCATAGTTTTAAATGATAGTAAACGAAGACTTGCGTATTCTGGTCAAGAGATTAGATATTAGGATTACGAGTTTGTTCGCTAGGATCTTTCTTCGGATCTGGAGCGTAGTTGTTAAGTCCACTGCAGAACGTTCTGTGGAAACTGCGAGCTGAGTTCTTTGGCCAGTCCTTGATGAGCCAGATAAGGACTGGAACAGTGGAGACCAACACTATGAGAACTACCAAGAATACTGCCCATCCAGGGTACTCGGCTTTGACTGTCCAGGTTTCTGTGCCAGGGTTGTCACCAAATGGTTTCTAGCGAAAAGGAAACGTAAAAACAGATGTTAAAACTTGGCAAAAGCATTGCATCTTCAGTTTAAAGATATTGGTCATTTGCGAGAATACGTCACATTGATGCTTGACTCCGGTCACCGCCTTAAATGAAGCAGTTATGTCAACGAATAGACCCATTGCATTTGACATCAAAGGAGATCAATTTGGGGGACAAAAGCAAAAGAATTTCAACCTCCTGAGCATTGGAAACCTACTGCTTTGCCCCCCAAATTGAGCTGCGTTTAAAACGCTTGGAACATTCAAATTTTCAATGGCATTGAACTCTAAAACAACCTTTAGGCTTATCTACAGTGTAAGTCAAGGCACGGTAACACACAGATTGAATAGACCCCTTGCAGTACGTCAATTCTCAGGAGATTGAAATTCTATTGCTTTGTCTTCAAAATGGAACTCCTTTGTCGTCATATGCAATGGGTCTGTTATAATTTAGTGTGATGATGGGCGTTGACCCCAAGAACTCGGTGTGTCGTTAATCAAATCAAAGAAACACGTTGAATCAAGAACATACCTGTTCACAGCCAACAAATTTAGAGTATGTTGGTGGCTTCTGGGCTTGCTGTGCCACAAGAGCAACCAGGACCACGAACAATGCAATCGGTGAAATGTATTTCCAGCATATCATCCAACCCACCCATGGCCTTTTGCCAGTCATGAATTCGATATCATCAGCAAACCTACGAGAAACGTTTATAGATCTCATTCAATTGGTGTACGATGTAATTATCATGAGTGTGTTGCTGGTTTTCAATCATTCCCAAGAGAATGAAATAACACAAAGACACGGCGGCCATGTTGGATGATATGACAAAAGAATCTTTTGTTAAATTCATCCAACATGGCGGCTTTGAAAACCATCAATTGCTTAGTCAATTCCGCTCTTGGGCGATTAATCATTAGGAAGGCTTTTTCCAGGTAAATTTTCCACCAAACTCCCACCCTGCAATTTTGAAATGTTTTTTTTGGATAGCCTCGGTATCGTGTTAGAATTTTAATATCTTGAACGTGGTATATTGGTTGACTCACTATCGACTTGCTCCACTCTACTCTAACTATTTAAAAAGTGGTTTGAAACGCTGTCACGCACGTGCAGTATCATGCGTTACACCTCACCTGTTATTTCCATAAACCCAGGCCACACCAATGCACTGGAATAACGCAATGACCAACAAGGGAATGGTTACTGAGTAATCATCAAAGATTTGAAAGATGTAAAATCCAGGCCCTGACACCATAGAAATACCAAACAAGAATAGGATGACAGCAATGATGAGGGTTAAAAACTCCTTTCTGACCTTAGGGAAGAGTTTTAGATCTATGATCGGACCGATGGCGGCTTCCAAAGTACCAAACTCACTGTCAATACCCAAGAGAATCAACATGAAGAAGAAGAGGATGGCCCAGAGTGGAGAGACGTCCATCAGAAGCATCGCATCAGAGAAGGTCATGAAAGCCAATCCTGGACCTGAACCAACCTGAAGTGAAAAAAGATACAGTCGTCTTTAAATATTTTAAATTTTCGTTTTGTCCTGTTGTTGCGGGAGGATCTTTCCACACAAATTAGAGGAAAAGAAATTAGATAACTTCCTTGTACTTCCTTACCAAGGAACGCGCTTTCTCCCTGCCCACTTGCAAGGGCTTATCTCCTAAAGAAAGCTTGCTCTACCCTAAATCGTTGTGTCGACGAGGCTATCCTATCAGGACTTCCTTTAGTCTAAACTTTTTAGTTTCTTTATACAAAATTCAATTCGAACAAACCTTGTCAGCAGGAATCCCAGTCTTGATCTGTCTGTACCCCAGGATACTAAAAACGACTATCCCGGCGAACAAACTTGTTCCACAGTTAATAAAGACGACAGTGTAAGCATCCCTCATGACTTGGTTATGTATCGGCATGTAGCTAGCGAAGGCGATCAGGGCACCAAAACCGAGACTGAGAGTGAAAAACATCTGGGTGGCTGCGTCTTTCCAGATATTTGCGTCTAGTAATAAATCCCACTGTAAGGAGATAGAACGATTTAATAAGGTGATATAACTGCTGCATGTAACACGCCACTCAACTACGACATTGCAACGTGACTGCGAAGGATCCGCGCAATTTATCGTAGAAATAAAATCGAGATTTACTCCACGTTTGATCGTATGAACACAATTTGAAACGTTGCTGCCAAAGGCACGGGGCGTCTTTTGCTATGCCAATCACAGCGCGCGAGAATGCCGGTCACCCAGATCAGGTCACGACATCGCCAGGACACGTTGTGATCTTATCGTTAAAGTTTTCACAATCAAAGTTTTAGCTTAGAATTTTTACAAACCTTGGGGGTAAAGAACGTCTTCAGGCCTTCACCAGCTCCTTCCAAGGTAACACCACGGAAAAACAGAATGATCAAAATGATGTAGGGGAATGTAGCTGTAAAATACACAACCTAGAAAAAAATAACGTTCATATGAAACAGGACTATGTACATATATTGTCCCATAACATCAATAATACTTGTCGCTCTTTCAAAATTTTCTCCTTTGCACCAACCCATTTTGAGGAACATCGACCCTGAAGGGGTTACAATTGAAAATAGCAGTCTACTAATTTTGACATGAAAAGGAAAGAGCTAGACTGATGGTATATTATTTTCTTTATCAATATGTTTAAGAGGATGGATACTGAGACTTGAGCTAAAGTGTGTGTTAATATGTCTCCCACTTTTTCAGTGGTCGCTGCATTTTTTTTTTCAGCATCGTGCGCCAATCGAATAAAATGCTCAATGGTTTGAAATGTTTATGAGTATTATATCTTTTGTTATCACAGGAAAGTATGCCTCACCTTGCCGCTGGATTTGATTCCTTTAACGACACACAGATAGGTAATAATCCACGCAAAAATCAAGCAGCCAAAGAGCTTGATGTTAATGCCTATGCCAGGATCTTCGATGCTGGAGGAAATCTGAAGGGCGTGGTGATAGAAGTAATATTGGGGTGGATCCCTCACACAGCAATCAGGAAAGGTTGATTCGTTACTCTTGAGAGTCAAATATAATGTAGAGTTTGTGGTGCAGTTTGGGTTGGACCCAGATTCACATGCTTTTATCGCTTGTAGGATGTTGTTGTACGCCGGCCAGTTGTGACAAAGGGTTTCCTTTTTCCACGGTAATTCGGAGGTGAATGAGATAAAGAAGTAATAACAACACCAGGCTATCACTACCACGTAGTACAGGCACAACATGAGAGACACCATCAAGCAGCCAACTCCGATGCCAAACAGGCAAGGGTGAATGTCTCTCCAGCACATGATAGCGCTCTTTCGCATCCGCTGGCCAATGCTGAGCTCAAGAAAGAACAAGGGAAGACCTTCGATCAACATGAAGATTACATAAGGTATGAGAAAGGCACCTGTAGAGAAGACAATAGCGTGAGATATCAATTAAGTGACGGGTAATTATTAATGATTCCACACGTTTCGTATTATACCTGCCTTGGGTTCTAGAGAGATTTTTTGTGGATTTACTGAATGAGCGGAGGAAAATAACCTCTGGAACCCAGGGTATGTTCAGTTTCCAAGTAGCATAGCGAGTGGGGAGGGGATGGAAGGGAGGTTTGAAGCAAGGGGCAACTGCTCCCTTAAACTTTGTAATTATTTTCAAGAAATATCCTCAAATAATTAATATAAGATAAAACTAACAAAAAGCCCCCACCCCACCCCCCTAAGTTCTTCATATTACAGTTCCACTGTTTGCACAAGCCATGAAGCATAGTCATTCGTTGTCTTAGCTTGACACAGACTCATGCATCAGTGGTGATACTAGATCTTTACTTGTTGAACGCGCTGGATTCGTGGCAACTTGAAACAATTTTTTTAGGGGCAGACGGCTTGTATGGGTTTGCTTATCGTTGTTTTTTGTAAAATTCTCTCGAGAAGAGCTAAATTTCCATAACATAATATAGTTCTACGAAGTGATTTATTTTCCTTTGTTTATTTTTTAATCCATCCATTGTTTTGATGCCATTCTTTTGAACAAAACTTAAAGCCGCGTTTTCGTACAAAATTAAAAAGATTAGTGAGTGATCTAGAGTTGATAACTTTGCACCGTCATAAATCGTTTGAACTGAATTTGGTCGTTAAACTTTGTAACTTCGCTTTAAAAAAATACGAGGGCATCTCAAAAGGCATTCATCTAAACAGAGGGCGGGAGGTTAATATCCATACTAAAGGATCCAGCCACTTGCCCAGCTAGCATGACGTCATACATTTACATAACATAACGGATCCATAAACAGATAAAGCGAGATTTACTATGTTAAACTCATAAACTACGCGGGGTCTTTGATCGTACTTTCTGAAATTACGAATATTTTGAATATGACACGATAAATGATTAACTGTTTGCTCCTAGTTTATATTATTTGGACTTACGAACAAATTGATCAATTCTGCTTCCAAAACCATTAAAGTATGACCATTTTGTTCTTGATTTAAATTCATAAATGCAATATTGAGCAAGCAATCACATACCATCATGACTGGAAAACTGATTTTTTAACCAAGTCTTTTCAGACGTACACTGAGCAGTTTTATAAACCTGGATTTTGAAATTCAGAAGCCGTGTACGAACACATATAAGACATAAAACCATACAACTCTGAGAGGAATATGGTCAATTTTTCGTTCAATGGATTTGACGCGCCCCATCGACTCTGAATCAAATTAGAACATTATTGTGAAAATTCAAATAAGTTTTTGCTTGATTAAAAAAAAAGCCAAGAGATTTTTGATTACTTTAAGTATCCATAAGGCTTTTATTACATAATTATTGATCTTTTACCTGCCAAACTTTAAAAGAAAAAAACCCGATATTTTACACATACGAAGTTTTTTTAAAGACTTTATGGAAAACTTTTTAAGTAAATCTCGTAAGATGGCCTTAGACGTTTGACACTCAAGGATTAAAACACGGAGTTGTTATGATGTGAAAAAGTATTGAATTCTTGGCTACTAATAGATGTCAGTCAGTGTTTATTCCAGGATTTAAGTAAATGAAACGACTTAATAATCAACTTCAAAAAAGAATAAACCTGGACTACAAACGCATCTCAGAGTTTAAAAAAAATTAACTTAGGTCTTTTACTTACCGCCCCCATTCTTTTGGCACAAATATGGAAAGCGCCAAACATTACCGAGACCAACGGCAAGACCTACGGTAGCGAGAATGAATTCTGCTTTGTGACCCCATGTCTCCCTTGGAGTCGTTTCGTCGTCTTCTACGACAGTCAATTCGTCTTTTTCTGGCTTGCTCCATTCTTTTGGCTTGTATAGGCCTTTGGAATTTTCTGGAGTTAAAGCGTCAGTTGATTTATCAACTCGCAAGCTTAAATCTTTGTTTCCTGTAAGTGAGAAACAAAAAAAAAAAAAGGATATTTATTACAGTGGATATTAAGAAGATGTTAGACAGTTAGATAAAGTTTAGTAAAATTGAATGTCTGAATAGTATAAGAAAATCAGTTCACGACATATTTATTGATTTGAATTTTTCGTAAGAGAATAAATTTTACCTTCTTCCATTTTGGATTCTTCTTAGTATTCAGAGATAATCGTTTAGTGCGTTTAAGTTTAACAGCAGTTCCCTGCTAGCAAGCAAAACAGCAGCGACCGAGTTCAAAATTACTATGCTTAAGAAGGGATAAAGAGCTCGGTCTGACTAATAAAGTCATTCCGATGGATAAGGCTCAGCCAATCACAGGCTTCGACCCGCCTACGTAAATTCCTCTACGTGAACTTTTGCGTTCCGCTCAGGCTTAGACGAGCTCAAACGTAGCTGTGTTTTAGCTTCTTTAACACTACAACACATGCAGATATATACTAAATTTTATTTATATCAAACGGGAAGTAATTGATAAATGAATAATGACACGAAAACAGAGATAAAATATTTGTGAACATATATAAGACATCAGTTCAGGGTCACCAGTTTCTCTTGTTTATATAAAAAAAGAAATTAAGCTATTTAGACTTTTGTAAAAAATCGGTCAAGTAGGAAATTCCTACGATAAATAAAGACGAAGTCAACAAGAGATTTGTGCTAGTGATATCTCTCACGTTTGATAAAAACAATCTCCCTCTAAAAACAATCTATTAAAGTCGATGTTTATGTTCCGGGTCAAGAGCAAAAAGTCAATATTGAGTACCGTAACGTATTTAATTTTTCCTCCTGACTATATTATATTTTTGTTTCATTTTTATTATCAACTTCATTATTGTAATTCTTTGCGATGAGCCAAAAGCGTGCGAAATAAGTCTATTTGGGTTAGATTTGTACTACTTTTTCTGTAGAGTAAATAATAAAAGTCACGCCGCACATACGATGTTTTGAAGTCAACCTCTTTTCTTGACCTCACTGCGTCTCGCTGAATCGATCAATGAAAGGTCAGCTTTTTCGCATAACTTCCCCTACAACGCCTCTATAACGCCTCTACACTGCAAGAATTGTACTGAAAATTCCCGCCTTCTTGAAGACTCAGCATGGACCAGAATTCTACCAGGGACTGAGGTGAGATTTCCTGATTCTACTTGTCTTCTAAGATTTAGTGGGTAATACGATTTTTGCCATACTATAAAATGGCATTTGTCCAGCATACTTAACGTGTTGAGTGAACACTACATACCATATCTATTTATAGGGAAGTGAGTACACTAAATTAGTCACTTACAGAATCGCACTATCTCGAGTACAATTCGCAAAATTGAACTTAATTGGGACTCTACAAAGTACAATTTGGGATTTAATTGTACTCCTCTTGTTCAATCAGAATCGAGTAATTTGTTTATTATGAGCTACGTTAGTGTAATTCACAGGAATTTACTTCCCTGTAAATAGATATGGCTCTGTGGCTCTAGTGTCCACTTAACGCGTTTAGCATGCTGGACAAATGCCACCTAGTATGACAAAAATCGTATTACTTACTAGCACGTGAAGATAAGTAGAATCATCGATAAAGCTCCTCTTGTCCAATCAGAATTGACTAATTTTGTTTACTACGAACTAAGTTAGCGTACTCACAGGAATTTTAATACTTCCTTGTAAATAGATATGGCTCTATGGCTCGTAGTGTTTACTCAACGCGTTTAGTATGCTAGACAAATGCCACCTAGCATGGCAAAAATCGTATTACTTACTAGCACGTAGACAAGAAGAACCATCAATATGTGATATAAATAAAACAGTTACCAACATGGGAATTTGTAAGAATCAATGAAAAGTATTTACAATCAATGAGTCAAACGTTTTAAGATATAGATACACGGTGCACAAGAGAAAATGAACCAGTTCATATTCTCTTGCGGTGCAACATTACAGTCAATGTTGCTGAATTATGATCGTTTTCTACTTCAGCAACGTTGCGTGCAACGAATGGCGTCGTGTGTCATGGCTCTGCGCAGCATCGATTGCCTTTTGCGACAGATAAACGCTTTTGTTACATAGCAACAGCAGCGTTTCTAAGACAGGAAGTTCTCTAACTATCCAGATTTCAGTATGCATGCATCCTCTCAGTCTGTAGGATCGAGAAAAACGTACCTTATGAATAGATAAATTCCTATGCGTATGTATATTTACGGATGTCACTATCGTTTTGCAAAAAATTTTTTTTTTAAATATCAAGAAAAAAAAAAACGTTGCCGCGTAGTTACTAGTAAAGTCAGTCTGTCACTTATTCGTTCAGGGGATAATACCTTTTTAAAATTACTTTCGAAAAGTCTGTGTTAATGATCGTAGTCATTGTAGTTAACTCGATTAAAAGTTTCAGTATACTATTTTAACCACCACTGCACACGAAAACTGCTTTAAAGTTAATTCAATCACATTTGTAATTTTTTCCCCTATGTAAAACCCAACACGAACGCTCAGTAAATTCCTATTAGATCTGTGAGCTAACCGTGCCCTGACTTTGATCAGCCCAGAGATTGTTTTAGGGTTCAATCTGTGAGTTAAACGTGCCCAGACTTCGATAAGCCCGAGATTGTTGGCGCGTATAAGATTGACGCCAAAAATCTAGATATTTAATACCTTGATAGTTAGGTGGAGGGCCGTTATCTCTACTTGTCCTGTAAGGAGTATCGCTTCGCGGTGGTTCATAACTCGGTGGTCTTGAGCCATCTATTGGCCTTTCATGTCTGGGATAAGCATTTCGTTCATTTCTCGATGGGTATGGGTCATAATCTCTCGGTCTACCATCCCTAGATGGCCTGCTCTGTCTTGTGGGCCCATAATCCCTTGATGGTCTGCTATCGCGAGGTCTTCTGTCATTCCTCGGGCGATCATCGGAGTCTCTAGGCGCACGATCATAGTCTCGACTTGAAGGCCTGTTTTCTCTTGATCTTGAATTCCTTCGGTCTCTGTCTCTTGGTTCCCAGTCTCTATCGTCTCGAGGTGGCCGAGAATTACCGACACTGGGTGGGCGTCCTCCTCGACCTTCACTTGGTAACCTCCCACCTCCCTGACTTGGAGGCCTCACTGCCCTGGAGTGCAGTATGTGTTCCAAGCCCTGCATTGACTTCGAGGGGGTCRTCGGCTTTTTGTCTAAAGAGTCAGACACATTATAATATACCAGTTAAAATCTAGAAATTAAACTAGAATGGGAAATTGATTGATAAAATGGGAATAGGATGGATTTTCCATTTTGTAGATGAAAAATCTATTCAAAGACAAAAATGTCATGGCTTATCGCTTAGGTCGCTGCCCTGGAATTTTACCCAAATTGGAAGCTGGTGGTAATCTAATTATCGTTCGCCCTTCAGAATCCTGCATCCTGACCTTAAAAAGGGCAAATTCCGTAGTCAATTCATAAACTCATCATTTTATCACAATTGCGTTACAATGTTCCATTTTATTGAACTAGGCCCGTGGTTAATGGTACCAATCCAGGTCTGACGACTACCTAGTTTAATATTAGTTTGAGCACAAGACAAGGATTGACAGTTATCTCAGTTCCGATATACTATACCCAACGCATGGCAGACCTTGCTCATCCATGCTTGCTCATCCAAGTATTAAAATATTCCTCGCCTGAAGAATTGGAATCGAAAATATTTTTAAAGCTCCTTAAAGGTTGAAATTAATTGAAGTACGTTAAACTTTTGAACACTTTTTTGTTTAAAAAAAGAAGAAAAAAATCGAAGGACGACTCTGGACACGGTAAAAAGTGACACAAGTTGCACGTAACAATACAGCGTGTACCTACAGCGCAATTTGAAAACTGTTGCGATACAAGTTGCAGCAATCGTTGCGAAAAGTAGAATTTTGGCAACGATTGCGTCTCCGTTGCACCCGTGTGTAATGATTTCTGTTCCTTGGTGGTTGTGAAATATGGCTTTATTTTGAGTATATCAATTCGGGCTACAAATGTGTATCATGCAGTCTGATAGATGGATATAGGGTTTCAGTCAATGCTATGGTATCATATGACATATAGCATGACATCCTCCTTTCCGTAAAAAACAACAACATATATGTATATATATATGTACATGCAACGAAAACAATAGTAACAATGACTATATATCAGCTGTCCATGCATACAACTGATGTTGCGATTATGTGCTATTCTTGAACAGTTCTTTTGAAAATTATATATATCGTTCTGGTGGTTTCACGACCCTGCCACTGCGTGTTGTAATCATTCCATTATGTGGTGCTGGATTAGACACTTCTGTTCCAGGAGATTCTGCAGGCGGGCTTTGGTGTCCTATGGGGGATGGCAGTGCTTCTCTGATGTGTGTTCTGTTCCGACGTAGCTCTCCACCCTTTGGAGTAGTGACTGTATATGATCTTGGTTGGTCCAACTTTTCCTTGACTGTGGCCGGTCCCCATTTCTTTGTAGAGGGGTTTTGAATATTGATGTTCTGCCCTGGCAGAAGATCCGGGATTGTCTTGGTGTTCCGGTCATAGTAGTGCTTTTGCAGCTCTTGTCGTTTCTTTAATCTCTCTATGATCTCTTCGTTGTTCTGGTTCCTAGTTATCGAGCGCGGTAGATTGTCTTGGAGCTTCCTGCCAAGGAGTAGTTCAGAGGGTGATGGCAACTTACTGTCAATTGGAGTGGACCGAAGACAGAGTAGAGCCATGTAGGGGTCTTCGTTGGTTCTTGCGGTCTTGTGYAGGACTGCCTTAACCGTCTTGACTTGGTTTTCTATGAAACCGTTACTCTGGGGGTAGTGAGGAGAACTGGTGATATGTTCAAATCCGTATTCTTTGGCAAATTCATGAAAACTAGCACTGCTGTAGTGGGGCCCGTTGTCTGATCTTACAATCTTTGGTACTCCTTGTTCACTGAAGATCTGCTTCATCAACTCAATAAC